TGCACGGGTGTGTCGGATGCGCGCTGCCCGCCTGCCCCTTCCCCGTGCGCACGGGTGTGTCGGATGCGCGTTGCCCGCCCCTTCCCTGTGTGTGTGTCAGGCGCACGCTGCTCTGCCCATCTGCCCCTCCCTGGTGTGGTGTTGGACGCATGCTGCTCTGCCCGCCCGCCTGCCCCTTCCCCGTGTGTCTGTCAGACGTACGCTGCTGTGCCTGCCCGTCTCTCTCTGACTGGGGCTCTCTCTTCTCTTCCCCCCCCCCCCCCAGTTCTCTTTGGGGAGATCACGCGGCTTCTGAATCACATCATGGCTCTCACCACCCACGCTCTGGACATCGGGGCCATGACCCCCTTCTTCTGGATGTTCGAGGAGAGAGAGAAGGTAAACCCCACAGCTGGCTCGAACCGGAGCCAGCAGCTCCATCGCGGGAGAAGGGCAGGGCAGCCAGAAGCCAACAAGTTGATGGCCCCTCTGCTCCAGCGTCCTGTCTCTTTGAATGGGCCACGGCACGTGCCTCCTCAGCCAGTGCCTAGCCCCAAAATGCAGCTAACAGGCCAGTGCTGTCTAAGGTGGGTGGAGATTTGCCTGGCCCAGCTGGGGAAGGTAACACCCGGTGTCACCAGGGACCCCTGGAGCTCAGCCTCAGGCAGAGCCACAGGCCCCAGATCTTGAGCGGGGTGATTGGCCCAGGGAGGAATTCCCCCTTGGCCCAAGGGGCGTGTGCTGACAGCAGCCTGAGTCAGATGGCGTTGCCCATGAATCAGCTGCTAGCTCAGCCATTGCTGAGGATTCTGCAGCCAGGCCAGGGCTAAGCAGCTCTGTGCCAAAGGCCAGGGGTAAATTACACAGGCCCCATGTATCCTGCTTTGTCTTCCTCCGCTACGGTGCTTCCCCGGGCTGCTCTTCTGCCTGGCTCCCTGGCCCTGCTTGGCGCTGGCTGGGGCTCAGCTGGCAGCCTTGGATAGACTGACTCATTTCCTCCTCCTGTGGAACACTCTGGTGCTTCCTAGTTCACCAAACAGGCCCTGGAACGGGGTCCTTCCGGGGTGTGACCGGCCCATGCCAGGGCATTGGCAGCGAGAGCCGTTGGCTGCTCCCCATGCCCCCGGGAACAGCATCTCTGGGGTGCTCTGTGGGGTGGATCCTGCAGAGCTGGGATCACCCCAGGGCTGGGGGGGCACTTTAAGGCTGGCCAGCCAACCTGGTTTGCTCGTGCTCTGTGCCCCCCGGGTGCTGGGCATGTGGGTGAGCAATGCTCTTTCTGTCCCCTGCAGATGTTTGAATTCTACGAGCGGGTCTCCGGGGCCCGGATGCATGCGGCCTACATCCGGCCAGGTGGGGTGCACCAGGTACAGCCAGCAGCATGCAGCTCTCCTCTAGCGCTGCGCTGCCCCGGTCCATACAGAGTTGCGTCCGCCTCCCTCGTGTGGGAGGCCTGATTGGCTGCTACAGCGTGAGGTCTAGGTATGGCCGCAGACCCTTGTCTGTGGACCACAGCGCCCTCTGCAGCTCACAAAGGGATCCGGCTCCCAGCCTCCTGTCTGCAGCTGCTCAGGGGGAGCTGGGGTGGGTGGAGCCTCAGAAGGAGCTTGTGCCGGATTGGGCACGGGCACCCAAGCCCCTCCCCCTTTCTTCAGTAGTGGCACTTCCTTGTCCCGGTCCAGTCCGGTCTGCTGAGAGCAATGCTGGCCTCTCGGGAGGGCTTCTTGCCAGCCCTGCCACTGCCAGGAGCCCCATTCGGGGAGGGGCTGCCCCCCCGAGAGAGAGGCCCCCAAGGGAGGATCCCCTTTCCCCACTATGGAGGGCCTGTAAAGCGGCCGGCTGGAGATGCTCGGCGCTCAGACAAGACGGCACAATGTGACTCTGGCAGCTGAGTGTTTCACGCCCATGGCCCTGAGCCGGAGCCTAACTTCCCCACAAACTGGGGTCATAGGGCCTGCAGCTGGTCAGGTCAAGGTAGGATCTCACCCTGGGCTCCTCTCTCCCTTGATACTCCGAGCCAGGCAGCAGGGGAAGGTGGGGAATGGCTGGGGCCTTGTCGGCACTTCTCAGACTTGGCAGCAACCCTGGGGCCTCCTGCTCCTTGGGTGCTGAGTGATCCCCCTGAAGTTCTCCAAGCGTGTGTGTGTTGTCTTCCCCCCAGCCCTGCCCCACATGCACACATATGTGCTGCAGGAAGAGCTCAGATTCTGCCTGTGCTAACCCCCTCTCCCCTCCCCCCCACAGGACCTGCCCCTGGGGCTGATGGACGATATTTACGAGTTCACCAAGAATTTCTCCATCCGGATCGACGAGTTGGAAGAGGTGCGGCTCCCAGGATGAGTGCCGTGTGAACTGGGGATGGAATTGTTCTCTGCAGTCAGCCCCTGCTGTTCCCCAGGGAGGGGACCCCTGCTTGGGACCTGGGAACGTAGGAATCCTGTGTCCCCTCCAGCCCCATGAGTCCGCATGTCTCAGGGTTTGAGAAGGGTTTTGTGCATTCCATCCCTTCTCCCACCCTGGGTTAGGCCAACGTGGTATCGGCCCCTGCAGCCTCTGCCAGGTCTGTGTCGACTGATCCAGCCCCCAGTGGCTGCTCAGACGATCCAGATAAGTTTTCCTTCTAGGGAGCAGCTAATACAGCCGCGAAGGGAGCACGGGGTGGGGTGCGCTTTTACAAGGGTGAGCAAATCTGTGTGTGCCTGGGGGCAGGGAGGCTGACGGCAGAGCTAAATTCTTAGCAGGCCCCGCTGTGTGTGGAGGCGCTGTGCCCGGCGGCTGGGCTGCTCCGCTTGACCATCCCATGGCACTCTTCCTTAGTCAAGGTGTTGATTCTGGTGTCCTAGGCAAGGTCAAACCCCTGTCATTACATCACCATCAAGAGCAGGAAAAGCAGAATCCCGTCTCCAGCTGCAGGGGAAATCGAGGGAGGTGCAGAGTGTGAAGTGCTCATGGTCTGTTAACATCTGCTGTGTTCCACTCCAGAGCTAGCTGCATTCCGGCGATGGGGAGGGTATATATGTGGGGTGAAATGCCTCCGGGTGCTTGGGGTGCCCGGGTGCTGTATCGTACGTGTGCCCGCGAGCAGCCAGGGCCGAGTGTTTGGAATAAGCGCTGGGTGGTGTTTCCCGGTGTTCACTCCCTGTCCCCTGGCAGATGCTCACTAACAATCGGATCTGGAAGAATCGCACGGTTGACATTGGAGTCGTAACCGCAGAGGAGGCTCTCAATTACGGTTTTAGGTATGATCCTTTCCCAGGGTAACGTGTTGTAACTCAGGCTGGAATGGGGGTGGGCGCATCCCGGGACGATGGGGTCTGTGCGCGCTCTGTCCCCTCCCCTACGGGCCGGCCTCGCTGGGGTGTCAGTGGAAGGTTGATGGTGTCGAAAGCAGTGAGAGTCCCTGGCGTGGGCGCGTGAGGAAATGTCCCTGGTCTGGGAAGGAAGCCACACTATTATCGCAGTATACCTTGCTTGTGGTTTTCCCTTCGGCAGCGCCATCTAGTGGCTAGAGCCAGGAGAGCAGAGTCCAGAGATCTGTACCTGACTCTGCCCCTGCCCCCTCGCTGTTCCTCGGTTTCCTCAGCAGTGATGGGCTAATAGCGGCCTGGGGGGGGCGGGGTGCGGTTTAATCAGCGTCGGAAGCTCTTGCCAGGTAGACTGATGCCAAGTGCCCAGGCTAAGGGAGAAACTTCCCCTGGCAGCGGATTTGGGAATGGCCCCTGGAAGGGTTACGCTTTCCTCAGCCGTGTCTGGGGCTGGCCACTGCCAGGCCAGGATCCTGGGTGGGGTGGAGCCACAGCCTGGGCCCCACTGCTCGGCTAACCCTTCCCTCTCTGCCCTTCCCAGTGGGGTGATGCTCCGTGGCTCTGGAATCCAGTGGGATCTCCGCAAAACTCAGCCCTACGATGTGTACGACCAGGTGGAGTTTGACGTTCCAATTGGATCGCGGGGCGACTGCTATGACAGGTGCCTTCCACGTTTGGGGGGGGGGGGGGGGGGAAGAGGGCGGTGCTCCGGGGAGGGCCGTGTCCCATGCTGAGTTCTCCGGGGGAAAGGGGGGAGTTGACCCCAGGGAGGGCCGTGTCCCATGGTGAGTTTTCCAGGGAGGGGAGACTGACCCCAGGGAGGGCTGTGCTGTGGTGAGTTCTCTGGGGATGAGGGGCTGATCACGGGTAGGGCTGTGTCCCATGCTGAGTTCTCCGGGGGAAAGGGAGGAGCTGACCCCAGGGAGGGCCGTGTCCCATGGTGAGTTCTCCGGGAGGGGAGACTGACCCCAGGGAGGGCTGGGCTGTGGTGAGTTCTCTGGGGATGAGGGGCTGACCACGGGGAGGGCCGTGTCCCGTGCTGAGTTCTCCGGGGGGGACTAACCCCAGGGAGAGCCGTGTCCCGTGGGAGGTGCTCATTGCTCAGAGACACGCCTGGAGGCTGCCCTTGCAGCACAGGGACCATTCTCAGACTCACTCCTTTCCCCCCGAGGCGTCTGTCCATTCTGCAGCCTCTCTGTGGCCTGAGCCATGTGACAGCAGCTCCCTTCGTGGGCCGACGGGGCCCTGAGCATCCTTTCCACAGACAGTCCAGCAGAGCTGGGCGTCGCCTGCCAGGCTGGGCGTGGCTCGAGCCAAGCAGCCTCCTCCGTGCGGTGCCCAGGGTTCCAATCGGTCCTGCCTGGCCCCCGGTGGGCTGGAATTGCCTAGGCTAAGCCTGCTCCCCCCCTCCTGCGGCAGGTACCTGTGCCGGGTGGAGGAGATGCGCCAGTCACTCCGCATCATCCTGCAGAGTCTCAACAAGATGCCCGAGGGGGAGATCAAAGTGGATGATGCCAAAGTCTCTCCTCCCAAGAGATCTGAGATGAAGGTAATGGAACGCGGGGTCTCCCGCTCCTGGGGCCTCGACTCTCGGGGAGGGAACAAGCATCTCTAACGTGCGCTGCGGCCTGTCCCAGCCTCGGGGGAGGCGGGGCTCGTGTCAGAGCCGAGGACTGCGGGGCGGGGCTCCTGCCTTTGGGAGAGGGTGGATGCCCTGAGGAGTCCGGACGCCTGACATCTAGGCTCAACTGTGACGCTTCCTCCGTGGGCACGGTGCTGGCCTCACGGGAGGGGGCACAGGGCTGCAGCCCAGCTGGAGAACACTGGTGCTGCTCTCTGGTGCCGTTCTTTGAGGGGGGTTCCTTTGGAAGGGGAGTGGGCCAGCAGCCCCGTAAGGATGGCAGCTTCCTGGGTCTCTGGCATCCCTGCCAAGCTGGGTGGGCGAAGACGGCCGCAAGCCACGTGCAGCGGCTGGCCATGGGCGATTCCTGTTTCACCTTGTTCCTGTAGTGTGACCCTGCTTTGCTAAGGAGTGCCGAGCCCTGCGGGTGCTCGGAGAGCAGGCAAATGAAAGTGCTGTTTGGCTAGCAGGTTCCAGGTTGTACAGCACCTGGCACATCAGGGGCTGGGCCGGGCTCGGCTCTCAGGTGCTGCCACAATATGAGTCGCTGAGGATGATGAGACAGAAGATGGGCTTGTGACCAGCACTCGACCTGGGTGTCGCTAGCCCTCTGAGTGCCTCAGTTTCCCTATCTGCAACAGGGGGAGAACAGCCCTTCCTTTTCCCACCCTGCGTCTGGCATGTGAGTTCAGCCTGGGGCCTTTCGCTCTGTGCAGCCATGGGGCTGCTCTCGTCCTGCTGCAATACGCACAATCCAGATGGAAACTGCCTTTGATTGGGGGCCCCTGGTAACACAGCCAGGGACGGGGACAGGTCAGGGGAGCTGTCGCCCACAGGGGAAGAAATGTCTTTGCCTGGATGGGACCCAAGTCGGGGGCCCTGACCCCTCGTCACTAAAGACACTGCACCTGGGGATGGAGGAGGAGGGGTGCTGGCCCCGCACCCAGGGCTGGGAACTGCATTCCTGGTTACTTCCTGCCCAGAGTTGCTGGGTAGTGAGTAGCGATACGCACGGCGGCAGGGCTGGGGAATCTGGAGGAGGGGAAGCAAGTTGCAGAGAAGCCAAGTGACTGGGCCAGTGTTGCGCTGTGAGTCAGTGGCGGAGCCCTGGCTCCAGTCCTGGGTCTGGCCGGTGCTGCTGCGGCGCCCCAGAGCGCCTGTCCTTCCTGCTGGGGGCCATGTGACTGCGCTGGGGCAAGGACCCATGGAAACGTTCGCTCCGTATATTGCTGTGTCCCCAGCCAAGGGCTGGGACGGTCCAGGCCGCCTGTCTGACGCTCTGAATTCCCTTCTGTGCAGACCTCCATGGAGTCGCTGATCCATCACTTCAAGCTATACACAGAGGGCTACCAGGTGCCTCCCGGAGCCACGTACACGGCCATCGAAGCCCCAAAGGTACCCGGTTGGCGGGGCGTACAACCCTTTGCCTATGCCCTGGGCGCTCTCCTCCCTCACAGGGGGCAGCAGAGTCACGGTCCCCCCGGCTGTGCCCTGGTGTAGCCCTGGCTATGGGCCGATGCCCTGTGGGGGCGGGGGCATGTTCCGGTGCCACTACAAACCATGGGAGATGGCTGAGCTCCTGGGGGTGCGTTAGAGCTGCTGCCCCTGTCAGTCAGCTGGAGCCTGGCTGGCCGTTGCGGGCACTGCCCGTGGGATCGGGCTGGTACTAGAGGACAGTTGCCACTGGCTGGTGATTGCGCTGGTGATGTTCCATCGGCCCCAGCTGCCCCGGGGGGCACCACTGGGCCAGATTCCCAGGGATGTGTCTGGGGCAGCTCTGGGTGTAGGCTGCAGATGGGGTCCTGGGGGCTGTGCCGGGCGCTCATTGACAGGCCCAACCCAAGCTGCTCCCCTCCTGCCCCTTTGCCCCGCATGGGTCCCTGGTTCTGCTCAGTCATGTGATGAGCTGCTGGGTTCGGTTGTGTCCCAGAATCCTTTGTGCCAGCTGCCTTGTGCCCATGTGGACCCCCCTTTCATGCTGCAGTGGGGACAGGCTTGCCTTACCCGACCCAGCAGGTGCAGGGGGAGGCCCTATGGGAGAAGACCCAGGGAGAAGGGGCAGGCCTGTCTGCAGGGAGGGGGGCACCAAATGCCACCCACCTTGGGCACCTGTGCCCAGCGCTGCCGTCTGGCTGTGTGAGGGCTGCAGAGTCTCTGCTTGCATCGCCAACTCCCTACTCCGTCCTGTAGGGCGAGTTCGGTGTGTACCTGGTCTCCGACGGCAGCAGCCGTCCCTACCGCTGCAAGATTAAGGCGCCCGGCTTCGCTCACCTGGTAAGAGATTCCCTGAGGATGGGGGCTGCCGGGGCAGTCTGGAAAGGGGGAGGTTCTCACTTTAGGGGTGCTGCTGGGAGAGTCTGGGGGAGGGGATGGGGTGTCTCACTTTAGGGGTGCTGCTGGGAGAGTCTGGGGGAGGGGATGGGGTGTCTCACTTTAGGACTGCCACAGGGGCAGTCTGGGGGAGGGGATGGGGTGTCTCGCTTTAGGACTGCCACAGGGGCAGTCTGGGGGGAGGGGATGGGGTGTCTCGCTTAGGGGCGCCATGGAGGCAGTCTGGGGGGAGGGGA